TTTTTTTTCGGTTAGTTTAAATTTTAGCTCTTAAATTTTTTTTTTTTTAATTTTAACTAAAGATAAATGTTATTATGACGTAAAACGGCATTTTAAGAGGATGGATTTTATTTTATGAATTTCTAAATTACAATTTATATATCAAGTATTTGTTGACAAAATAAATCTGTTTTCGGTCCCAGATAGAATATTATGAAAAAAATTCAATATTAAATATATTTTCCCTTTATGGTTAAGTATTATTTATGAATATTACATTTGTAATTAATGATAAAATGTAAAAATTAATATAAAATGAAAATTTAATGAGATAAAATCTAAATAAATCTTAATTTAGTCATTGAAACAGAGAAAAGATTTACTGATTTTTAATATTTTTACTACCATTAAACTAAAATAACATAATTGTGTTGACATAAATGCCATTGAAGACAGTAACATCGTTACGATGCTGATCAAGTAGTTTACTTGTCTGGATGTTACATAATTAATTTGGATGCGACCGAGTGACATATACTAAATGTATGCAACTAATTGCAAAAACTGGTCTTAATTCATAACTATCACCCCGTATGACGCAATTGCTGAAACCACCTCTATTATTGTAGAGAAAGTATCGTATACAGATCATCGACTCCAAATAATTTTTTAAGGGGAAATATTGATAACCAGATAAAATGAACAATACTATTGAATAACCATAGAATTATAAATACCTCAACATAACTGTGTTGGGCATCAGTCGTCTTCTAGAACAACTCGGCACACAATCAGTAAAAAAATATCATCTGTAACTTAAATAATCAAATATGAAATATTTTAAGGTACATTGTCAATATTAAATACAATTTTTTTTAATTTTATATTAATACCGATTTTTTTTTATCGTGATTTCAGGCTTGTGTCGTCGGATTAGCTTTAATCAGTCACTGCTTGGCTGCTGAAGACGCCAAGACTGATAAGAAAGCTAATACCAAAAGAAGTTACAACTTGGGATATTCCGGAATCTCTGACGCTTCTTGGGGCTTAGGCGGTTCATCGTTGGGTGGATATGGATTGGGACTGTCTTCTGGAATCGCTTCAGGATACGGTTCTGGAATCGCTTCAGGATACGGTTCCGGTTATGGATACGGCCATCATGTGCCCACAAAGGTCAGCTCCTCAGATCACGTCGAACAAGTTTCCGTTCCGCAACCATATGCAGTTCCAGTCACCCGTCACGTTCCAGTTTCAGTCCCACACCCAGTGCCCGTAGAAGTCCCAAGGGCCGTTCCAGTCAGCGAACCACATCCAGTACCAGTCACCGTCAATAGACCATACCCAGTCGAAGTTCCTCGTGCCGTCCCAGTCAGTGTACCACACCCAGTACCAGTTGAATTAAACCGTGCCGTGCCATACCCAGTTGCTCGTCCATATCCCGTAGAAATTAACCAAGCCGTACCATATTCCGTACCTACTCCAGTCATCACCCCAGTCGCTGTCCCAGCACTAGCCACCTCTTCTTACGGAGCTCCATTGTCCGGCTACTCTTCTTACGGTTCATCTTTGGGTGGCTTGTCTTACGGATCGTCTTTGGGAGGCTTGTCTTACGGATCATCTTTGGGAGGCTTGTCTTACGGATCATCTTTGGGAGGCTTGTCTCACGGTTTAGCTTTGGGAGGCTTGTCTCACGGATCATCTTTAGGATACTCTGGTGCTTCTCTCGGATACGGAAGCGGATATGGTTTATCCAAATACGCACACCATTAATGGTAATTCAAACTTAATTTTATAATATAATATATGTTAATTATATTGTCATTTATTTTACAATGATATATATTTATTAAGAATTAGGAAATAATACTTATTTCATATTTTTCAGAATATTATGTGATAATCAACTAACATTAAACTTTCTCAATGATGATATAGTCAAATTTTTTATAAAGTTTCATTTTGTGACTTGTTTTTTTATGTACAAAATGTATTTTTTTAAGTGTTTTTCCTCATATTAATTTAATAGAGTGTANTATTTTTTTAAGTGTTTTTCCTCATATTAATTTAATAGAGTGTATTAATATTATAACATTCATAGTGCAAATTTGTATTATAGAACTAATAAATGTTTTATTAAAATCATTATTTATTTGTCCTACTTTTTCTTATTTTATGTATTTCAATTTTGACTTTAAATAATATTTAACTTTTTAAAATTAATAATTCTACATATTTTACATGATAATTTATCATAATATAGATTTCATTTCATAAATTATTTTGAATCTAAAATCCTGGAATATTAAAATGATATCAAATAGTATTGCTATTTAATTATTTTGTATAATTTAATTTATATTTAAATAATTGAAAATGAAAACGCGTATGTTAATTTGATTGTATACAAATGTAGTAAAATAAATATTAAAAATATAATATAAAAAATATTCTTACAAAAAATAATTCTCAAAGTTTATCTATAAATTCTAACTAACGATTTCATGTTTAAAAAGATTAATTATCTGTTTATTTTGCTCATCACCCTTGTAAGTGGATTAACTAAAACATTATTTTGTGTATTCATATATGCTTACAAAAAAAAAAACCCTGTTTGCTTTATTGAAAATTATTTTAATCTTATTTTTTGCTTATTAATTTTAAAATAGATATTGTGAAGCGACTAAGGGCGATAAAGAAAATCGCACCCCGAGTCACAGTATTAGGACATTATAAACATGAAATATCTGTGGAAGAAAATGATATTATAGCTATAGTTAATAAATTACAAATCGCTATTAATTATCTAAAAGAGTTACAAATATTTTCTGCTCTGACTTCAAAGGCATAAAAATTTTACCTAATAATAAAAAATTTTACAAAAAGAATATATATCTATTATCAAAATAATAATAGTATTAATAATAAATCATTGGCAAATTTTTTCTAAAATATAGACTTGTAAATAATTAGCAATTATTGCCATTATAATAAATTGTAATTAAGTTTTATTACGTTGACTGACTATTAGTAATTTGTTTTATTATTATTTATTTATGATTAATCACACAATTTCAATTTATACGTAAATTTTTTTTCATTTTCTTGTCTAACATCATTGAACGGAAACTTCCTCTGACAAAAAAAGTTTAGGCCATAGCGTTTCCGCTGAAAGGAGATTTAACTGTATAAAAAAATGCTTTTAGTTACCACACTTCTCTAGCTAATTAAAAATAGCACAGCATGAGTTGATGAACACGTGCTTATCGATCTAGTCAGTACTACTAAATTTGTCTCCTATGTAAATTTTAATTTTTTGAGAAATAATACAGAATAAATTTAAAATCAACTAAAAATTATTCTGGTGGTTACATTATAGACAAATAGGTATTTACATCTATGTAATTTGATGTAGTAAAAGTTAATTAACTTTGTCAAAACAATAAGAATGCTTACTATTGCAATTTAAACGAAAATCTCGTTTCTATTCGTCGTCATTAATATTCTGTTTCTAAAGAAAACAACAGTGTGGGTTGCGTTGCAAGTAATAATTTGAGTTATTTCTGTTGAGTGATTCGTTCATATACAAAGCGTGTTTTAATTACCATTATCACTGGAATAATATACTAATGTTCTAAATACTGTTTTATGTTTTTCATAAAACAATCACAAGCTAAAAAGTAAATAATTAACATAATTTATGCGTTCATTCACACAGGTGAATCATTATTTTTTAACCGTTTTTAAAATTCATCTGTTCTTGTTAATATTTATTTTGTTTATAATATAACGGCTTAAGTCGTTAAAATCACTTAATCCAAGTTCGAAAATATTTAACGAAATCGAATACCTTAATATTTTTTAGAGTTATAAAGTAAACATTTTCCTTAAATAAATTATATTTATATTTGATTTATAGAAATTTTGAAAATATTGTCCCTCTGTATTGCTAAATTAATGTATATTTAACAACTGGCCTTAAATTTGAAATCAGAGAACTTAAAACAAAAGGAATAGAAAATGTTTAGATTTTTTTCTTCTAAATCAAGAGATATATGTTGAGACAAGCCATTTGATTACGGATCATCGGACGTGGTAACTAGTTTGCTTTACTCTTGAAGTATTTTCTTTTACTAATAATTGTCAAACAAAAGTAAGCTGTATGTATTTTGATCTCTTAAAAAATTTTCTTTATTACTGTATTAAAATAACGCTAAAACCAAAAAAAATTCAAAACATGCAAAATAAAATTAAGTATTTAGCTTATTGGTTTTCTGAAATAAATTTATAGTTTACGATGGTATTCCTACGTACTTAAAAAAAATGCAATCGCTAGAAATGATGAGCCCAGATTATCAATAATTTTGTTATATTCAGTGATTTTTTTTATCTTATAAGCAAAAACAAGTTATTTGATGATTTAAATTATATATTTCAATGTAGTCATCAAATGTAAACACAAGTAATGTGAACCTTTGTTTATTGAAAAGGGTAATAGGAATTTAACTATTTTTAAAATCTGCATTTTTAACCAAAGAGTTTTATTTATTTTTTTAAATATTTATTAACAATTATTCGAGTAATATTCAAATAAAATCAATAACAAGTAACATATCTAAAAATAACATCTTTTTTTATATTTATTAACTCGAAAATAAAATATTGATGATTAAGTTTAAAAAAATAATAAAAATTAAGAATGAACTAATTAAAAAAACGAATTAACTAACATGAAAAATGTAACTAAGAAACTCAAAGATTTGTATTCAAGGAAAAAATTGTATTAAAAAATGTTAGTAATATTTCGAAAAGAATAAAAAGTTCTACACAGTAAATCATTACAGATAGGTTGGCCTGTGTTAGAGAAAATTGTGACAAGTTATTATTATTGCTTTGGTTTGTTGCAAAAATAATTTAATGTTATAAAAAGGGAACACAATGTAAAAATATAAGCGAGAAAGAAAAGTATTCAGCTTTTATTGTACAATGTATAACCGGTAAAAAATTCCATAACGATCGATGAAGAAGAATTACGAGCAAATGTCACTGGCTGTGCAACTTGTTTACAGATGTAATAGAAAAAGTTATTGTATACTCACGTTGCTGTAAATCCAACAACTACAGTTTCTCTTCAAAAAATTAAAATTTGTAAAACGATTGTATATGAAAAGTACGTTTTATTTTTGTTTTTGAACGAATAGGAAAAATATGTAAAAACTATTAAGAATTCAATTTATTCGTCAAGAAAAAAAATATATTTATACAAATAAATTTTTTTGAATTTAATAAGTGAATCCTTATGTTTTCATACATCTATGTATTTATACACTTTATAATATTCCTTTAAATCCAAATTTATTTATTTTGTTATAAATATTACAGCTAGTTACAATTAACGTTTTAGTAAAAATAAACATGAAACCTTTTCTTTGCTACAATACTGATTTTGTAGAATTATTACTTGTATTAATATATGAATATTCGTATAAAGAAAATTGTCTTAATGCATAATGTTATTAAGCTTTGAGGACATTTTTTCATATAATCATTAGACTGTAAAATTATATTTTAATTAGAAAGATTACAAAGAATATGGCTGAAATTCGAAACACGAAGTAAAAATTGAAGAATTTCTTTTAAATAATAAATAAATACTTTTATTTAACGTAATAAATTAAAAAAATTTATCCACCATAAAAGAAATAATTAAAATCTTTGTAATACATGCATTTATATATATTTTATTTTTTTTTATTAACATTCATTCGAACGAGGGGTCGATGATAACAAAATAAAACAATAGAAACAACAATTGTAAGAATATTATTATCTGAATTATCTAATAACAGATATTTACCTGTGACTCAGCCCATAGCGCTAGGTTTAATTTCATTATCACAATAAAAATCGAAAGTAATATTGTAGTAATATTATATACCGGTTTTATTTCTCGATTATCATTTTCCTACGCATTGTAAAATTAGGGAAACGATATGTACACTTTAACCAAAACTCAAATTATATTTTTTGGCATTTCTTTAATTTTTTATAAATTAAATGTATTTTTGATAGAGATAAATGTTTAAAATCATAATAACAATATTAATATTATTCTTAAAGATCATATGGAGAACACAGATATCAGGCTAGTTGTATTGAGTAATTTAAAATGAAGTAGCCAATAATATTTGAATGTCAACAGCGGTCCACGTGAAATGATACATTAGAATAGATTATTCTTACAATCAGTGGCAGTTTTATTTCTTAATGAAAAAACTCGTTTTACGTTAACTCTGGCTGTTTGACTAATAAATATGTATTTCAATTCTATAAACCTGTTAGTATACTTAAGCACTATCAAGTATTTTACCGCACATGTGCAAGCTGTAATGTATTTCTGTGTTAAGTAATATTCCTTTTATCTAATAGATTTAAGTTTTTTCATATGTACAAAATTAATTGGATATCACTTTTTAACAAAATATATCTTGTATATAATATACAATGAATTGTTTTAATTTACCAAAAATTAATTAAAACAAAAGTCATTGAAAAAAAGTTTTGTTTTGATTTTTACTAAAAAATAATATGGCATGAGAATATACTTATAAGGCACATAAATAATTATTTGTTTATTGGTAAATTATAATTTAGAGATCATTAATTCAAGTTTTATAATCAACTAAAATTAATATATGGATTAAATTCAAACAAGTTCAGTCATATTACATATGCTTAATAAAAGTTATTACACTGTCTATGGTTTAATTTTTT